CAATTCCACATCCTGGACTACTTCCCGCCTGTAGGTAGGCAGCTCTGTCTCTTTGCTCTGGGGGCTTCCCCCCAGCCCCTTTGGGCCTGACTGGCACTGCTGGAGGTCTGCAGCTCCTCCCTCCCCTCCAGCAGTCAGCCCTGAATGAGCAGCTCTACAGGCCTTTATAGCTGGCCTCCAGTCCGTGCATGCCCAGGAGGGGTGGGGCCTCTTCAGCCAGGTGAGCCAAGTTAACTCCTTTGGGCCTAGTGGGGGATTGATACACCCCATCACAGTTCTGGATGTTAGTCCCACCCAGCAGCTATTGAATACTGTATGGGGAAGGTGACAGGCCATTAAGAACTAATTTAGTGGCTGGGATGGATTGCGAGGCCTTCGGAAGGACTCTATTAAAACTCCAAGGCTATGTCTACACTCACGGCTTCCTGCGCAAGTAATATGCAAATGAGGCTAAGCGTGGAATATTGCTGAGCCTCATTTGCATACCTAGTGAGCCACCATTTTTTTCAGAAGAGGCTCTTGCGCAGGAAGGAGCATCTACACTGCCCCTTCTTGCGCAAGAAAAACCCTCTTGCGCAATGCCGTTCTTCCTGTCAAGTAATAGGTGTAACGGCGTTGCCCAAGAGGGTTTTTCTTGCGCAAGAAGGGGCAGTGTAGATGCTCCTTCCTGCGCAAGAGCCTCTTCTGAAAAAAATGGTGGCTCACTAGGTATGCAAATGAGGCTCAGCAATATTCCACGCTTAGCCTCATTTGCATATTACTTGCGCAGGAAGCCGTGAGTGTAGACATAGCCTTGGAGTTTTAATAGAGTCCTTCCGAAGGCCTCGCAATCCATCCCAGCCACTAAATTAGTTCTTAATGGCCTGTCACCTTCCCCATACAGTATTCAATAGCTGCTGGGTGGGACTAACATCCAGAACTAAGCACAAGATTATTTTCTGAATACAAGTCAGTCCAGGATCTACCTCAAACCCAAATGCCCCTGCCTCATCTCCAAGGGCCTACCCCGCCCCGCCCCTTCGCGGAGGCCTCGCTCCCTCTGTGAAGATGAGGTACAGGGACAGAGTGGTGATAGAAATGTAGCCGTGTTAGTCTGGGGTAGTTGAAGCAAAATGCAGGACAATGTAGCACTTTAAAGACTAACAAGATGGTTTATTAGATGATGAGCTTTTGTGGGCCAGACCCACTTCCTCAGATCAAAAAATCTGAGGGACAGAGTGATGTCCGAGCCTTCCTGCCTCTGTCTCCTCCACCTTGCACAAAGAGCAGGAGGCTCCCAGGGGGAGGGAGAAACAGTTGAAATGCTGGCACTTGACAGCCTCCCAGCCAAACCAGTTAGGATCACCTATCAGGGACTCCAAGATCTACCAATAGATCCCAATCAACTGGTTGGTGACTACTGGTCTAGTAGCAGGACAGAGGTCTGAACTGGATGGCCTTTCAAGGCCCTACAATTCTAGGATTGAGTCACATGAACTAATTAGTTTAGCTCAATGGCCTTTCACCACCTTTATACAATATTCAATAGCTGCTGCTATTCATGGGATGAACATATACAGTACAAAACCTATTTTTGGAAAAGCTATATAACCACTGTGGTATTAAAGCTACATTGTCAACTTTAAATCCACGCTTCTGGATGATGATGGTATAATAACTTAAAACCATACAGTTGTAAATAACGTTAAAGATTGGCATAAAGTGAGTGAAATGTCCATTATTTTACCCAATCTAGCTGTCCGATGGTGAAACTGTACACAGTATAATTAGACATACAAAACAGGAATGTATTTGGGTCTGCTGACTTGACAGGAAAGAAACATTTTGAAACATTTGGTTTTAAATCACAAAGATCGGAAACGTTGGGGACAGCTGTTGCTCCTGAAACTACTTGCAACTAACTTTCAAAAATGAACTAGATTTAAAAATTTCTCGCACTCAAATTCTGGTCAATATAGCTTAATGTAGCAGAACTGTTACTTACAGAATCTAGTACTTAGTCTGTTTGTGAAAAGGCTTAAATGGTAATTAAAATAGTGTCCTATCCCAAGGAATTTACAATCTTTTTGTTCTGTTTGTACGATGGGGTCTTGGCTACCACAATATAAATCCTAGGTTTCCTGGATCAGCTTTTAAAATCTTCTCCTGAAAAACTGAGCCCAATGTGACAGCACCATGATAAAACAGGAGAAATGAGGGCGGGGGAAGGGGAGTGGAGCTAGACTTGTCTATTCCATAAGTGCTGTGCAGAATTGGGGCCTTAAGCATGTGGTATTAAGACAGAAAAAGTGGTTTTTTTTTCTTAAGCCTTGACAGTGTTCCTTGTAAGAATGGAAAGCTCAGAACAATTTCCATTTTGATAGTTAATGAATTGGCCTTATCACCATGAGATAACAAATGTGGTTGGGCTTTTTTAATCTCTGAAGTTATTGGGTCCTAAAGAGTGCTTACCCTGGAGCCATGTGTGTCTGCTGCTTGGGCAGACCTATCCACGTTTGTACACTTAAAGCTAGAAGGCTACGTCTACATTGGCAAGATTTAGCGCAAAATAAGCCGCTTTGGCACAATCTTGCCGCCTGTCTATACTGGCCGCAAGAACACAGACGTTCTACTGAATGAAATCAGTGCTTCTTGTGCAAATACTGATGCTCCTGCTCAGGGATAAGTCCTCTTGTACAAGTGTTCTTGTGCAAGAGGCCAGTGTAGACAGGTAACATCAATTTCTTGCGCAAGAAAGTGTCTACACTGGCACAGATGCTTTTGCGCAAAAGCAAATCTTTTGCGCAAAGGGACATGCCAGTATAGATGCTCTCTTACTCAAATACAGGCAGTCCCCGGGTTACGTACAAGATAGGGACTGTAGGTTTGTTCTTAAGTTGAATCTGTATGTAAGTCGGAACTGGCGTCCAGATTCAGCCGCTGCTGAAACTGATCAGTTTCAACAGTGGCTGAATCTGGACACCAGTTCTGACTTACATACAGATTCAACTTAAGAACCCCAGGCATCCCCAAGTCAGCTGCTGCTGAAACTGATCAGTGGCTGATTCCAGGAAGCCCGGGGCAGAGCAACTCTGCCTCGGACTTCCTGTAGTCAGCCGCTGGTCAG